TCAGTTCCCCACAGGCCTGGAGCACTGTGTGAGCACTGAGGCTCTTGTCATAGGTCAGGCAGTAATAGTCGGCCTCGTCCTCAGGCTGCAGCCCGCTGATGGTCAGGGTGGCTGAGTTGCCAGACTTGGAGCCAGAGAATCGGTCGGGGATCCCGGACGGTCGTTCACTATATTTATATATGAGGAGTTTGGGGACCTTTCCTGGGAGCTGTTGGTACCAGGAGACATAATAACCCCCAATGTTGGAGCTGCTTCCAGCGCAGGAGATGGTGACCTTCTGGCCCAGGGACCCAGACACTGAGGACGGCTGAGTCAGCACAGACTGTGCCCAGGATCCTGGAGGAGGGGGAGACACAGACATGGTGATTCTGGGTCTAGAGACAAGAGGAGGAAGCGGACCCCATGTTTCATCCCAAGGTCCCTTTCCCTGTCCCCACATCCAGTCACCTGTGCAGTGAGCAAGGAGGGTGAGCAGGAGAGGGGACCAGGCCATGGTGCAGATCCTCGCTGAGTCCTCCTCCAGTGGCCCCACAGCTGAAGCAGAGCTGCCCCCAAACCTCTCCTTGCCCTCTTCATGCTCTGCAGGAGGGAGGGTCCCCTCATGCAAATGAGACCCCTCAGCTCTCTGACNTACCTTCTTCATGCTCTGCAGGAGGGAGGATCCCCTCATGCAAATGAGACCCCTCAGCTCTCTGACCCCTCCCTGGGCCCTGGGGCAGCTACCTGGCCCTGAGGGTTTCAGGGGCTGGGTGGGGCCCAGGGCTTGGCGAGGTCACAGCTGTGAGACCTGAGCAGAGGTCACCAGTCAGTGCCAAGGAACAGGTCCCAGCTCTGAATACTGCAGACCTTCTGGAACAGTCCCCGAGCGCCCCCTGCTGCCCAGGCCTAGAAACACCAGTGTGTAACCTGGTGACAAAGGCCCATCAGGGACAGATCCTGCCTCCTCCCAGCTCAGGTCACAGGCCCCCTGCCTGAGGGGCAGTCCAGGTGGCCCTCAAGTGGCCTTCTTATCACTTTGGGACACTTTCTATGTTCTACCCAGCTCCTCGGGGTGAGTCTGTGCACGTGTCCCTTGGCCGTTCAGTGCTCAGAACCAAGCTGGTTACACTTATGTCAACTTTTCTTAGAGCAGGGTCAAGACCAGAGC